CGGCCGCAGCGCCCCCGCGGGCAGCCCCGTCGCTCCCAGCTGGTTGTGCTGCAGCTGCAGGTAGCGCAGGCCCCGGGCGCCGCGCAGCCGGGCCGCCTCCACCCACCGGATGCGGTTGCGGCCCAGGTGCAGCACGACCAGGGCGCGGGGCAGACCAGCGGGCACCGAGGCCAGCTGGTTGTGGGACAGGTCCAGGTACTCGAGGTGGTGAAGCTTGCTGGCGGGAGAGAGGGCCGGCGTTGGGTGGCGTGCCCAGAGCGGGGGCCCTGAGGTGGAAGCTGGAGACCCCAGCTTGGGGCTGGAGGAGTTGAGAGATGTGGGCGGGAGGCACACTTGCTGAGGTCAGGGCAGCTTCCAGCCTGAGGGTTGGACGTGGAGGCGCAGGACAGGGTTCTGGGTCCAGGATGGGCATGTGGCGGTGAGGACGTTGGGATAATAGGACTGAGGCACGGAGCAGCCGGGAGCGAGGATGGCTGCTAGGGGCTTGGCTGAGCCTGACGCACAGCAGGTGCTCACCAAACGCGGCCTCGGTTTGGGAGTCATACACCAGAGGGGGATAGAGGGTTGGGGCGCCCAGGCTCTGAATCTTCAACCCCTCCTGCCAGCGCAAGGCCGCACCCCTGTCCTACCCTGTCCCAGGCCCCACCTGAAGGTGGTGGCATCCAGGCCGCTGTCTGTCAGCTGGTTATGCTGGAGGTAAAGTTCACGGAGGTGGGTCTGGCGGCTCAGGGCTCCTCGGGGCACCTTGGAGATGAGGTTGTTCTGGGAAGGGAGGAGAGAATGAGACCGGGGGTCAGGGAGAGAGGGCGGCGGGGAGCTATGGAAGGCTCTTGAGTAAGGGAGTGACAAGGAGCTCACTTGAGCAAGGCTGTTCGGAGAGCACCTGTGAATGACCAGCGGCCAAAACTCAAAGATATTTCCGACTACTGGAATTGTGAGGAGGTGGAGGGCTCCCCCAGGAGAGAGGTGAGGCGGCCCTGAGGAGGCGGGAACGTGGGGGTGGCGAGGTGAGGGAGGGGCACCTGCAGGTGGAGCCGCTCCAGCGAGGGCGGCAGACTGGGCGGCAAGTAGCTGAGCCGGTTGCTGGACAGGCTGAGGGTGGCCACAGCTTCAGAGCCATGGAAGGCGTCGGGGGGCAGGCCGGCGTTGCTCAGCTGGTTGTTGTGGAGGTACACGGACCTGAGGGGAGCCAGGCTCCGGCCACCAGCCCTCCCCTGGCCTTCCCACCGACCCCCATTCCTACCCTGCTCCCCAGAGCTGCCTTCGGTGTGTGCACGTGCGTGTGTGTACCCACTGTCTCGGCCTCAGTGTGGAGTTCTCCGGACGGAGCATCCAGGGTGTCCTACCTCAGACAGCCCCCAGGCTAGGGCTCCGCCCCCTCAGACCCCCACGGGCAGGTTCATGAACCCCTCAGACTTCCAAGGGTAGGGGGTGACCCCAGGCACACCTGAGGTCTGAGAGGTCCGGGCTGGGCCAGGGGCTACCTGAGCGCAGGCTTCTCCCCAAAGGTAAGCGGGAAGATCTCTGTCACTTGGTTGGCAGCCAGGTCCGCAACTCGGAGGGAGCGGGGCAGAAACTGGGGGGCCACCGAGAGCTGTGGGAGCACAGCGACGCTGGTCCTGGCGCCCTGCCCTGCAGCCCCCTGCTGTCCCCTCTTGCGCTCTGCTGTGTGACCCCGGCCAGGTCAGACCTCAGGGCCAGGGCAGGTGGGGATGCTCACCTTGTTGTGGGCCACATAAATGTGCTGCAGCTGTGTGAGGGACTCAAAGGCCTCATCGGGCAGCCCTGGGAGCGGGACGGGCAGTGAGGGGACCCCAGGCCTGGCGCAGATAGGGGCAACGAGGGAGTCTGTGCTCCCGGCTGCCCCAGGGCTCCTGTCTGGGGACTGGCAGAGGCCCCTCCAGGCACCCTCCCACACACCTCCCCACCCGTCTTCAAAAGCCACAGCCCCCACCATGCCCTGAGTTTCCATCCTGCTCAGCAAAGGGCAGTTCTGGGAACTACCGCAGAGCTACCCACAGACCCGGCAGGGGAGGGAAGGGGCCACCTCTGGCCTCCCTCCTCCAGAGGTCCCCTCACCCCTCACCCTCGGAGGAGATGAGATTGTTGTGGAGGTTGAGGGTCCGCAGGCTGCTGAGGCGCGACAGCTCATTGTAGGGGAGCTCCTGGAGCAGGTTGTTCTGGGGGAGGGATTCACAGCCCTGAGCCCTCAACCAGTGGCCAGAGCCCTGATTCCCAGCTCCCCATTGCCTTAATCAAGTGAGCCTTGCCACCCGTCACCCCTACACTTGATCCCCAAAGCCCCATTACCCTGCATCTAAAACAACCCCGTAACCACAAACAGCGCTGTGACCACCAAGATGTTGACCCCCGGCACCCCGTCTGTTCCTATAATTGACCCCTGACACCCATTACCCTGACTCCAAACAACCCCATAACCAAAGACATTGACATCTGATACTCCATCACCCCCACAATTGACCCAAATGCTCTATCACTGACCCCAAAAAACCCTGTAACTGCCAAGACATTGACCTCTAACACCTCCAAACTCTCAGCCCTTCCTACTTCCAATATCTGTACCCCCACCTCCTCTCGCCCCCAACGCACAGACCCCAACACTCTCATCAAGGCCAGCTCCCACCATTGCCAAGCCCCGCATGCCCAACACGGACCCCATACCCCACCAGCCTCAACCCCAGCGGTCTGCACGCTCCCCCTACCACGCCCGGCCCGGGCCCCACCTGCAAGGAGAGGTGCTGAGCTGCCCTGGTGATGTTGTCTGGGAACACCTGCAGGTCCATGCCGTTGCAGTCCACCGTGTCTGCCCGGGGGCAGGAGCAGCGCGGGGGGCAGGCGCGGGGCGGGGGCCGCGAGCTCTCCCCCAGGTGGGGGAAGGCGGCGTCCTCCATGCCAGGTGTGGGTGGGGGGCTTGTCAGCAGCAGGAGAACCAGTAGTAGGCTCAGCCGCTGGGAATAGAGGGACCGATGGGTCAGGGTGTCCCCAGGCTGGGCACCAGGTCACCATGGCGACAGGAGCATCCCCACCGGCAGACTCCCCTCCCTCC